GTAAGCTCTCACTTTGCCCGTGCTATGCACGTATAACGCTCGGATAATATTTACATATTTCTCGGGCACACCTTTCCTGAGTAGACAATTCCAAAGGGCACATCGATCAACCGAATCGAAGGCACCTTTGATGTCGAGGAACACGACTACGGTGAGCCACCAATATGTGTGTCGGTGCTCCAACAACTGACGCAAGGTGAAGATGTGGTCGATGCAGCCACGACCCCGACGAACCCGGCTCGCTCCTCACGAATGTGGCTTTCACGAGCGTCAATCAGTCGGTGAAGGATTATGGAGGCGAGTAATTTGGAGGAGATGGAGATCAGCCTGATTCCTTTATGGTTGCCGCATTCCGAATGCGAGCCTCCTTTGAAGATGGGAACAATAACGGAGCGGCTCCAGTCGGTTGGGACAGTTTCACTAGTAATTCATGTAAAACATCAACATGAGCAGAACCTCCGAATTTGTAGAGGGATGGAGGAAGATCATCTGGTCCCGCGGCTTTGTTCAACTTCAACGTTTGACTTCTGAGCGAGAGGATGGATCCAAAGGGACAGCCTACGGAGCAGGGCGATCACTGGGCGGCGAAGAATCGAACAATTCTAGCCGATGAAATTGCTTTTCAAAATGCTCAGCCCAACGCTCCAAACGTTTTGACAAATTGTGGATAGGCTGTCCACTCTCGTCACGTATAGTTTCACCAACACCAGGTCTCCTGTTGCCCGTTTCCCGTATCAGACGGAATAACTTAAGATCGTTGTCAAGGGCAGCGGCCACTTCCATCTCTGATGCACGGTGAGACCACCAAGATCCGCGGTCCCACTTCAGGCTAGCACGAAGTCTTGCCCGGAGCTCTTTGCAAGTTTCATTGTGTTCGCTTCCAGCCGGGATATGCCGGTGAGCATCGATAAGTTCCAGAGACCGCGAAGAGACCCAATGTCCATGTTGGCTATTAGACATACCACATGAGGATTTGCCTGCTGCTAATAAGGTATGGTGAACATGTGACCAGTGACCATCCATTGTCTCTAGTGAGCGCTTACTCAACTCACATGTCAGCGTACTTCGATACGAATTCAGAACAGCTGGCTTTGTCAGTTGGCTGGTGTCAATGCGCTCACAGCGTCGTCGTGTGTGTTTGCCAAAACGCATCCGCAGGTCAGCACGTATAAGTGCATGATCGGTGTCCATACATGTGCTCCAAATTGAGCGACAGTTCTGGACGCAGCCTCTCCATCGGTAACTTATCGCAATGTGATCGATTTGGGTCCAAAGCTGGTTCGAAGCTGGTGGGCGCCAAGTCACCCTCCGGCAGGTGCTGTGTCGGAAGTTAGTGCTCACAAGAAATAAGCGAACATCTTCACATAAATGAATTAACTGCTCACCGTTATCATTACGGGAGCCTACATCGTGCTGACCGCCCAAATGCATTTCATCAGTGGGCAACTTTCCAACTTGTGCGTTCATATCCCCAGCCAGCACAACAGTGTGCGTGCTTCTTCGGTGGCGAAGGAGCTAGGTCAGTTGGCGGTAAAAGTCGTTCTTTACCGAATCATCGCTACCGTTTGTGAGTGCGTAGGCAGCGATGATGAATGGACATCTATTAGTCCCGCGCGTCTTCGAAGCTTTGAACGAGCCAAACAATCGGATCGCACACATCCGGCTACTGATTGGAATCCAATCAACCACAGCAGCTTCAGCCCACGGACTCAGGGCAATGCCAACACCGGCTTGGCCGGTGCTCGAAGCTGCATCGTCACCGGATAGGCGCAATAAGAAACCACTGCTTGCGTCACCAGAAGAGGATCGCAGAGTGAGCACAGAGCTCGAGTCTTGCAGGCGGGTCTCTGATAAGCAGCAGATGTTGATCGAGAGGGTCTCCAATGTTCGGGCAAGTGCTGCCTGTTGACAGATCTGTAGTAATGTGCGTACATTGAAGCATGTCATTCTGAAGGAGGACCGAGGGCTCCAAATGCAAACCGATGAACGGGAATGGACCGCTTGATTGGACGTGGGCTTGTCGACAGGAGAGAAGTGACGCTCCGCGTTCACAGCGGGCTTGGCGTTGGGTTACAAGGAGCCCGTTTTAAGAAATAAGGTGTCACCCTCATTCCAAACCCCAACCTGGAGGACCAAAAGGCAGAGTTTGTCTAGCCTCTAACTATTGACCAATCTGGTATGAGTTCCTCTGGAGGTGGAAAAGCACCACCCAGCATAGCTCAACAGATCGCTGAGGCACACAAACCATCGCACCACGGTAACGTCCGGCCTGTTTGCGATGGATATATATATATATATATATATATATATATATACCGGTCTTATTCCTTCGGGTTTACACTGGATATGGGGTGTGTGGTTGGAGCTGTGGGTGGTGCAGCGCAAGCCACCCGTGGTCCCTCTGTCGGCGCAGGCGTTCTGTGGCTGGCCACAGTGACAGGTAAATCCGAAACCGGATGCCGCCAACCATATACGAAATACGTAGCCGCAGCGAAGCGACAAGTCACTGTTAGCGCTTTTACCACGGGGTAGTTCAATGAACGCTAATCACGCAGGCACTTTTGACACACGAGTTTCCTGCGATGCCAACTAAGCATGTGACCACAGAGCGAAAATCCTACCATAGGCAGATTATTACAAGTTGTGTGTGCACTTACGTGCTGCACTTCAGACCATCAGTCTCGGTGTGCATGCATGTTGCTGTGATCCTGGAATGAGGTTTTATCCACAGACAATGGATAAGCATGAAGTACCCGTGCGCCGGGTAGTAAATAGCAGTCGTTAGTACTCATGCGCTAGCTAGGATAACTTTGTAAATATAGCCATTAGTGGGGGCGCGATCGTAGGTTAGGATGAAGCATATCTTTCTTCCCAAGCTAGCCACCGAGACACGGAAAAATGCCACAAGAAATAGGTAATATAAACCTGCGCAAAATGGATCACAAAAGGATAAGTTAAATGCCCCTAAAGCAAAAGACAATCTGGGCCTTTTACAGCTCATCCATTGTGCTTAGTTCTTCTAACTGGAGAGGTCAAGAAATGAGCCAACCCTGACAAAAAATCCCGAAATTATTTACCTCTCACTTCACTATGGTTCATCAAATGTTATAACTTCGTTTCTCGATGTGATATATAAATACACGTTGCTCGGATTATTTCAAGTAAAAGGTGAAACTCTTTTTCCAAGTATTAGGCTCAACGAGTGCTTAACCAGCTCATCATGTAGCTGACAGTAGATCAGTTGATGTGGATGACAATCAGTAGATATTTTTTTAACAACTTCCGTAGACTCCGTCAGATTAAACGTTTTACACAACAGCTTAGCATTAAACCGACTGCAGTAGTACGTTTCATTGTTGGGAAATTTCATATAATGCCATCAACATGCTAGATGTTAACTACCTCAGTTAATGAACAATGAATTTATATGGGTTAAGAAGCGTTGCTTTACAAGTCCCGTTGGATAGTTGGTGGGGATATTGACATAACAATGATGCTACTAATGATAGTACAACAGTTAGCACTTTAAATATGGAAATAAGGACCTATCGTTTGCTCCGCCGTAGTCATGCAATCTACTTTGATTCACAGCACCCACAGTTAAGGTCAAATAATTACCTGGTAAACTCCAGGTGTAGGATGGAGACGTAGTGCTACGTGACAAATAGTAAGTGGATGAGTGCATCCCCTAACCGTCTTTTAAATAATGTTAGGGTCGGTGCAGATACGACCGATTCTGGGAGAGCATTTCACGGGTGGCAGACACGAATGGAAAAGAAATTTCTGCGGTACTCCAGACGACCGTATTGTTCTGTGACTTTCAATAAGTGGCTCCTCAGGGTCGTATTGCTGCCGAGTTGCAGTAAAGAGCGGCACACATGATGTGGGTCTCGCAGAATCAAGTATACCATAATCAGTTCGCCTCGTAGTCTGCGATAGCTTCCACTGAACAACCCCAGTCGTCACAGCCTCTCCTGGTAGGAAAGATTGCGCATTCTAATTACGTTCTAAGATGCCCGAAGTGTGACTGTTCCAGTGCATCAAGGTCACGTTTCAGCCATGGGTGCTAGGCTTGAATTGCGTATTCGACATGGGGGCGAACATACGCACTGAGCATTTGTCGAAATATGGAACTGTTTATTTGTCCCAATGCCCGTCGCAAAAGCCAGACGTATTGTATCCCAGTCTTCGAGCCCAATTCGGGTTGTATGGAGCAACCCAAATCCTTTTAACCCAGGATACCCAAGTTACGTTCGACAGTGGATTGTTGCAGTATATTCGTTCCGAGCCGATATGAGTAGTTGCTCTGATGTCGGATGGAAAGCACCTTGCATTTACTGACGTTGAAATGCAGTAATTTTTGGGTTGACCATTGATACACCGTATCTAAATCACTCTGAAGCACATGTTGGTCGGCGTTCACCTGAATCCTGCGTCAAATTTTGATATCATCGGCAAGCATTAGGTAGTTTGAAGCGATTCCCTGTCTAAGGTCATTAATAAACACGAAAAAACGCACGTGGACCTAGTACTGAGCCTTGCGGCACACCACAATCAACTTGTATGGGATCAGATAAAGAGCCCCGAACTCTGACCACTAATTACCGTTGAAGTAGAAAGTCGGTAATCCAGCTTAAAAGAGGGTCGTCGATCCCGTAATGCTGGAGCTTGGAGAGCAGTATCCGATGGTCTAGACGATCGAAAGCCTTCGAAAAATCCAGTAGATCACATCAACCTCTTCTCCAACGTCATTTGACTCAGTCCAACTATTGCGTGCGATAAGTAAATTCGTTGTACATGACCGCTGTCGACGGAAGCCGTGCTGCTCAGGCGTGGGGATGTTACAGTTTTCCAGATATAGCTCACATGAAACCGTGCCATGCCTAGTTACCAATGGCCCTTTACAGAGCATTCATAAAATATTGCACAGAACAACAATAATTACTTAATACTGAAAGAGCATATCGTTAATACCGTGAGAATCGTTCGTTAGTTATTACCTTAAGATCCATCAGCCCTGCGTAACCCACGCGATAGACATTATAAGCGCCACTGTCCCATGCTACCAATGCTGCAGATCTCGGAGTCCACGGATACCAGTCCCGACGGTCTGTGATGCGTCCTTGAGTCGGTAACAAAACCGGGCCAGTTGACATCTGCTCCCCGTTCTGACAAAATAGGCCATGACAATTGATAGCGGAGCTGCTACTACCTAGTAGCAGCGATCCACCGGTTGATGCGACTGGAGATATGCAATCTTGACTGTCCCAACTCCAGTCGATGCCTCTAACGACTCGTGCTTTAGCAAAAAGGCCCAATGATTCGATACGTCTTTGCTTCAGTCGACGACCCACAATGACTCTGTAAATGAGGCAGAAACCGTTAACCAGAAAGGATTTCATTGGTCTGACAAAGAATAAAAATAAGGGGATACTACCGACCAAAATACGCACATACCTAGTTTTGTACTGAGCAACGATCCGCAGGAAATGATGCGATAGCGAGTGTTTGTCGCCATGATAACACCCGGAGCACAGGTCGACGCACAAACACACAGCGCATTTCCATCTAACCCCGTAAATTGGTGACTACAAAAGGATTTGGGGAGAAAGTGGTTTTAAACTACTAGCATATGATAAAAGTAGTGTATAGGGTATAACAATTCTACCCACATGAGTGGTGACTCGGTTGCCATTTAACAGACTGGCTTCCGATTAGCATTTGAAACAAGTTCTCGGTATTCCTCATGATGCCTTTACTGCAGTTTAGTGCTTATATTGTCATTTGCCTAGTTGTTCGGGATAAAATGCAAATAAAGTGATGCGAAGACCGGGCGGGCCGTTGCCGTACTTGTGAAAAACGCGAAAAAAACCAACTACTCACATGGTGCACAAGTAGGAGTAAATGTTAACTTTTCTCAGGGAATAAAAGACGGCAAATATGGAACGTTCGAAGAGGCTATTGGTTCAGTGACGGTCTCAGTGATCGTATTGTCAGAGGCTGACTTTAAAGTTAACGGAGGCCGCAATCGATATTGGTTTTCGCAATCCAAGACACACAACGGGTGCTCCAAAACTCGGAAATCTTTTGCAAAATTATTTGACATAAGTTCCATCTGCTGGGCGTAGGCCTTCTGCGTCGTTGAAGTAGCACAATACGATGGCTGCCAAACCACTTCACACAGCTTCACAATTACTTAAAGGACGCCCCACACGTACTTTAAGGGCACAGACCACACAAGGCTCCTTGAACTTCCTCCTTAATCATCCGTTCTCATACGTTATTCTCTTTTGCAGCCCTGTTCTTCTTAGGTGAACGAGCAAGCTTGCTCGGTAACTGTCATTGTCCACGTTTCTAAGTAAGTTGCATATTACCACATCGATTGGACTGAGCAGGGCAGATTAAGAAACCTTCAGTAGCGTACTCTCTTTAAATTGGCAAATTTGCTCAGTGGCAATTGTGCATGTGGGGACGCTAGGCATACACCCCAGAGGCGTTAATCGCACCCCCAGTAACGAAATATTTCACTATGTTCCGTCACCTATAGATGAAGCCATTAACATTTCCTAACAATTCCCGACATTCCATAAAATTTAACGTACATTCTGTGTGTCGTTTGGTGCATAGTTTTACAATACTTTATTACCGGTGCATTCGTTTCAACTACTAATCCTTCAATGATTTTACGTTTTGTATCCCTTTTGTACTACTTCATCAGCAAACGTATTATGCGCTAACTGCTTTTGACCTGTCTCAGGTAAGCACGCATTGGCGCTTTGCGACTCTTGTTTTAATACTGGTGCATGCTAACATATGATACACCAGTAATCACAGGAAGGCCCCAAAGAGTAGTTCGACAGCTATCTATGATGTCAGGAAGATGTGCGTTTTCGAATTTTGTGCATGCCATTAGACCCTGAACAAACAGACTAGACTGTTTATCCTAGATAACAGATGAAGCTTTTGCACACAGCTGTGAAACTTTATACTCTCTATATTTCGCACGACTCGGCTGGTGGCCGAGTGTCGGCCGGTGGCCGAGTGGTCTGCACGTTTGCTTTGCAACCATAAGATCATCGGTTCGAATCCGCGTTGGGGTGGGTGTCCTCGCGGTATACTCAGCCCGCGCACGACTGGTGGTGGTCGCGCGGCAGTGAAGCGCCGTTACGGCGTACAGCTGACACTATTATTATTATTATTACTCCCGAAACTACGCATCATCTCAACACCGTATTACTGCATCGTTGTGTGTACATAAGTAAACGATACACTTTATATTTTTGCATTGTCCGATTCACGATACTGTAGCAATTATCTGTTTTAACCTTATATTAGCGAGACTGATGAATACAGTTCATCGTTGCGCAATTTCGGGAGCGAAAACTAAATATTCTGAACATGTTTAGCTCTTTGCCCAATTGTTGTAATGAAAACTGATGCCTCAGTAACCCAAGCGTTGTGATTGTATTGGGATCCTTAGACGAATGTCTTTAAAAGCTGCATCAATTATTCGAGCTTGTGCATATTTGCCCCTCATTCTATGGTTCGTGTATAAATGAACGTGAAGGGTCGTATCCCTATACTTATTTTCATCTATGTTGCTACTGTAGACTATTGCTCTGTTATGATAGGTCCTGTTAGAGCAGGCCATACTTCATGTTATCTGGAAACATTTCTTACCAGCGTCAAAAAAAGATGACAAAATTCGAGTAAGAGGGAGGCCTTCTCATTTTGAATGCATCCTTTGCTGCTCATGTTTTTGATCGTTTCTTGAGGTACAATTTCATTGGAGAGAATAACGTGGAAAACATGGTTAGGTGTAATTGTTAAATGCACTTTCGAACGAAGCACACTTTCGAACGCATGACTAATTTACTAAAATGTTCTGCAAGTACATTAGGTCTTAAGGGACCAAGAAAGAAGGAAATCTAGTTGCTATCTGAGTGAGCATGTTCTTACCTCTTGACATCCTTCACATACAGTCCCAGGATGCTTGATTCCAGTAGGCGAACTGTCTAGCACGCGGAGATCGAAGCCCAGGATGCCACATCTATAATTGGCGACGATTCCTGAATCCCATACGACAATAGCTTCACCCGTCGTGTCAAATCGTCGAACGGTGCCCACATGTCCTTCACCACCATCCTGATGAAACAGAGCAAACATTCGGATGAAGGTGGGGAATGTGTGGGGTGAAAGTCCAAAATAATGCGCAGAATAAAGCTTGAACTAATGTGTCAAACAGCCTTACGTGATGGGTACCGTTTTGTTGCTTAAGAGTTGTTTCAATTGTAATGGGAATAGATGGGTGTTGCTCTTCCCAACGCTGGCGCACCAGCGTTGGGAAGAGCAACACCCATCTATTTCCATTCCAGGTGCGGTCCTCGAGATCGAAATGACCGAGGTTTATCTCAAAGTGAACCGAGGTCTCTATAGAGGTTACGAGTCGCAACTCAACCACCCAATGTGTTCCCTGAATTCTGCTTTGAATTTGATTTGTTTCAATTGTGTTAAACGAATTCGCTTAAGGTGTGGAATAATTTTGTTTAGCGTTGGGCTTCGTATTTATTTTTATAATGTTTGTCAAGTGGGAGCGGAACTAGGGGTGTTGCGACTTTTAGTGCACTTTGTAAAGTCGGCAGCGTGGGCTTGTAGGTCATAACAAAGAAGAGTCGTCAAAATTCAATTTTAATTTAAGACACCGGGCATGCTCAAAAATGTCTAAAGTTTACATTCGTAGGCAATATACAGTCTTATGTAAGCATTTGCTCGGGAGTAACTAACGTTGTGGAAAAATGAACAATGCAACTGGGACATGGGTGAAAGTTAGTTTTGGCAGAATAAGAAGCGCACGAGCCAACCAATTATCTTGCGGAGGGTTCGCCGTTAATAACCTTCCTTCATCCTACCAAACAGCAACAGTTGCTCACTTAATATCATTGTGCAACTGATTGTGGTTTCGTACATGCAATAACCACAGCGTTTTTAGCGGAACGCAGAATAAAAGCTGCATTGAGATGTCAAAACATCACTTAACTTATGCATCTGCACTGGATTTACGCCGTGCACTGAGAACATTAATTGGGACATCCAAAACTTAGCTGACAAGAAAGGAACGCGACTTTATCACTACTTGGAAGATACTCATTAGTTAATAGTTAACATACTGAGCAATGCCTCATCAACGACTAGTTAACTAATGACAGATAAATGTATATATTTGGGATGCGGTAATGGTATGCTTACTCCCTCCGGTATCGGACTCAGTACCAGCAATACATCGTTTGAAAGGCTGATGACTGTCGTAGTAGTGAAAACCTACCTTTATCGCATTCTGCATCTAAGACCAAAGTACTCCAATTGGTTGCCTGAGCAGTTCCTGTAACCACTATACTGGCTGACACTTTGCTACAGGGATGTTTCCTTGGCGTTGACAGCCTCTTGTTCTTAGTAGTGTATGAAAGTTGCAACGACGTATAGCGATGCGCAGGTTACTATGCCGGGTTGATTTGCTTTATGCCATACTGCATAGTTAGCAACTCCCTGTGAAGAATGATATCTTAACTGTTGTTGTCTGAAAGATACAATATTCATTATAAGCGGCTTAACCCGGTTGCTTTTATATGCTTTCTACAGCCTGGAACCCCCATTCACATGCTGCTTGGTCTTGAATGACACTGTCAGTTGACGCAACAAGTAGTACATCTGATATTCGAGGATACATATTTCCCCTATGCAGTTGAATGAATGCATGCCCCAGTTAGATAGTATACAACTTTCCCAAGTTATTTACCCATCTCAGCTTCTATTCACATACTGGACAATATGGGCATACCAAGGAAAATCCAGAGTGATCAGAGGAGGACAAGTTAGCGATTCGATTCGTTAACATTCACATCTATTTTTTGTCCGCTTGCTCTCAGAGCTCGGTCCTTAATCTTGGTCATTATGTAGGAAGGCGGAAGGCAGCGTTTGCCCAAAGGACGGTTAGACCAGTAAAACGGAGGCCGACGAATAGAGAGACCGATGCAATGGGGGCGATTCGCTGGAGAAACCCAGGCCCAATAGCACGAGACGGAAACGGGACAGGAGCGGCATCCGTGGGTGAGCCCGAGGCAGACAAAGCAGGTGGGGAATTTGTTGAAGACGCAATAAATCGGACAAAACCGCCGGTATCGCATCTTCAAGAAACAACCCCGGGGAGAGTGATACACCCACGGTCAAGCAAAGCGCACGCTATCGAACGACTCCGGCCTTGCCAGAATCGGAGGTGTGGAAAGAAAGATACACGGGCGAAACGGATACAGAAGATGCGTTCCCGTACCCCAGAAGGAGCATAGAAGTGTCACGAGCGGAGGCCAAGAGGGATGGTGCAACTTGGGAAGGAAATCTGACCCATTAATGTATGCCCGCGTGAGTGGGTGGACAGTGTGTGTTCGCGCCAATAAAGATCGTGTTTCATTGCCGCGTTTGTTCTGTCGCTACAATAACACAGTTATTGGTCATTCACAAGATCCCCTTAACCCAAATACATATGTATGTCCGTGGTACAATATTTAACAGTCTCTGTCACATTGGTCCAGCGTGATCCGGTATAGTGCAATTATCCACATGTATAAAAGCTTATACCGTTTTTTAACGAGACGAACGAGTTGTAGTTGACAAATTCTCAATAACAACTGGTGTGTAGAAGCCCTATAAGTCTCTAGCAGGTAACGTGCACTCATCTCAGCTTACTATGCGGTGAACGCTCGAAACCCCTGGTGTGAAGCGCACATATACAGTGGTGTTTACTCCCGTGGGTCTACTATCGCTTGTATTTACACTATCGACGGGTCGACGACATGTAGATGAACTCGATGCCCTGTCTATGTGAACAACAGTGGATTGTCAACTAATCTGTTATGTGCCGAAGCCGACTGGCTGAGCAGCCTTACACACCAGGACGCCGAATCGCAACTAGTCTGCATAACTGCGCTGTGAGGACATAAACAGATAGGCAACTAGGATAAGTTCAACCTTTATTTGGTCTAACATAGGATAGAGACGATGCAGGAGTCGGAGCCCGAGGCCAATGGGATGTATAGCTAAAAGCTTCTACACCATAAGACCTACCGCAAGTCATCACGATTAGGCAACGCTTCTTAGCACTACGGTTAATGACGCGAAGGACATGGGTCAGCGCGGACTGTATTCGGGCGGTCTACTCCAACTAAATCCAATCCTGATTCACTAGTCACAGTCCAGACTGGAACCGAATTCATCAGCATAATTGCACTATTCAACACGGGTATTGCAGTATCTTACACATATGAAGATTACCGAGTCGCAATCCATTCCACACTACGATGCGCCTCAACATGATCTTCCAAAAGAGTAAGGTACATAATAAAATGATTTCCATAGTTGCCTAGATTTCGATGTTTCCAATACTTTTTAACAATCAACCAGCCAGCGCAGTCTTAGGGCAGTGTTAAATTACTATCTCATCTTGAGCACACGCTCTGTAATACCTGCGGATCTGCCGACGGGTATGGTATCCGCTAACAAGTGTTCCCTATGTTGGGCTTCATTCTAGTGACCAGTTTAGATTTGGATGGCGTAGAAACCGTTGAGTAATAAACATTCATTTGGACAGTCCCCCATAGTGGTTCCTGTTGCTATGTTACACTTTATGTCTTATTCTGCTCTCATCCGCCGTGAATTATCGGCTACAGGGCCAACGACCGATCGCCCTTTGACCGTGATCTATCACACATTAGCAAGTACAAAGAACAGGCAGAAAGCAAAGCGCAAGTTGCGTTTGCGGGTACAATACAACATTATTACAACAAGGCAGTCACAACTTGAGTCACATTTAGTGTCAAATATAAAACGTGGCGCTTATAAGCTAGCACGGTCAAAAGAGTAGCTATAATTAGGACGCTGATTACATCGCGCGCTGCAGACCCATCATAGGCCATGACGTTACCTGTGCCTACAACAACAGCAAGTTAGTTCTTGTGATGGAACAGCACAGTAGCACAGTTTTTTTGGTGTTAGCACACCAAGGTCAGTTTTAAAAGCTTTTGCGAACGATGCCCCTCAAGCGAAAATGCAAAACAAGCTATGTACCTAAACTCTCGCGCCACATAAATAAGGCAGAGCAGCAGGCGATGAGATCAAATCTACTGAGATGATAACACATTATAGAAAAAACAGCCTCTAAAGGAAACACCTGAAATATGGCCCTTGCTCTGTGCCGATCCAGTAGTCCTCACATAAACAATCGTGCTCTGGCAGTCGTCTGGATGATATAGTCTTGGCAGTAAAGACACTCAACGGCAGCCCGGACCCCTTAAACTATTGAGCCGCTTTTCTGCTGTACCGCACTACCCGACAGCCATGTAGTTATCCGTACAATCTAGCTATCTCTCTTAGAGCGTAAGCATAAAGACTACTAGTAGAACGTAGAGTTCTAATGCGGTGTAGCTCATAGAATTCAGTAAAATTCACACCTGATCATTCAGTAAAATCGGAGCTCTAAACACTGCTACCAATGCTCAAGCCATCCTAGTGATTGTCGGTGTCGTGGTGCTAGGATAGTAAGGCAAAATGGGTATTGAACAATCCCAAACGCGCATCGAGCTTTATCACAATTAGCTAGTATGTTACGAGACGCGGCCTACGCATAGTAATCTGTCTGTACAAACAAGCAATGCTTAATGATGAGTACAGTCAACTTTTTAGTTAAAAACTCAAGCTAAGCGATAAGAGATAAATTTGGTTTTGCATACATAAACACACGGCACACATTTAGAAAAGAGCATACGTGTACAATACCTTTATCCTCATTAGCTAGCTATACAACAATATATGCGTTTAATTTCTCTCGCGGGGGCGAAACAGCTTTGAAATCCAAGGTTACGAAAGCATATCTCTCTATAGTTGATATATACGCTCAGGTCCCTTCTGTCATCGTCATGATTGGTTGATTAGATGCGAGGACAAGACTTATTCTGATTGAACGAAATTCGAGTGCAGCAGTTGTATAATTAGCTACACACAACGTAGGGTGAGAACGCACCATACATTGTGTTACCTGCGAACCACCGGTGCATAGCCGGCTTAATATTTTATGGTTTGTGACTTAACAAAGTAGGTTA